TTGCGGGTCTCCTGCATGATCAGAAGGGAAAGTCTAACCCCTCCTACCGGTTGATCCTTGTTCAGGCATTGTATTGTGGCCGACACAGGGTAACCCAGTTGGTATTCAAAGGTGGCATTCAGCCAATGTTGCAGTAACCACATAGGCCCTGACACATTCAGAGCTTTGGTGGTTTTGTAAAGACGAGAAATTTTCAGAGACGACAGCCCTACAGCATAGTACAGAGAGGCCAAGAGAAGCTTACCAATGGCCACCTGTCGACCCTCATGAATTTGAATAGCCAAGCTAATGTAGCTTTTGGTTATTTGCAAGGAACCTAGGCAAAAGAGATAGTATGATAGCCATAGGGTCAAGAAAGCAATGTGCTCCTCATCTGACACTTTGATCGTATCTTTATCATGATGATCTTCGATGAAATTCTAAAAGCCAGCATGGTCAAAGTCGAAAGATGCCTCAGTTTCTATGGTGGGGTCGAAGGTTTCACCCAAGGGGGAAAGACCAGTAATGGCCACCACATCGAAAAGGATAGGAGACAGCGTCCCACAGGGCAACTGGAAAGTCTTTGTCGAACCTTCCCAAAAGAACATCGACGCCAGCAAGAGACAGGGGTTGACCCTGTGAGCATTTCTTGAAAGTTGAATGGCGTCGAAGATGCTAGATCTTTTCCATTGGTCCTGAAGTTTGTTCTGGACCTTGTTCAATCAGGCGAGATAGTCTTGGTTTCCTAGGGTTAGCATCGAACAAAACACCCTAGCCTTTGGCGCCATGAACTTCAAATCAAGGGTGCCACCCTTGCGGAAAGCTGGGGAGTGGCTTCTAGAAAACCATAAAATAATGTTTGCATGTCCTCATGGCTAGGCTTTCCAGTAGGATAAGGGTCGTGAAACGCATGCAACTTCCTCGCCACCGCGAACAGAATGATCATTTGCCGTTTCCCTACAACCAACACAGTTTCATAAGCAGAAGTGGGATTGGGAAGAGGTTTGTGAGAATTCGCCTCTGAGATGACAAACAATGGGGTTGTTACCCGTTGTGTGGGTTTGGGAAGCAGTTGAGGAAGCCATTGGAGGTGGTGGTTTGAAGAACTGAAACGTTTGTGGTTTTTCAGAGAAAGAGAAGCAACAGAAAGAGTATTGGAGAAAAGTTCAAAAATGAGGCAAAGAGACTATTTATAACTGAAGCTTGTTGGAGACGAATAGGATAAAGGGATTTTTAGCTTCTCATTCGTAGGAAAAGTAATTAGTGGAAGTTGGTTTTGACGTGGGAAAGTGAGAAAAAATGATGGAAATCCTTGAAAATTGTGGCGCAGAAAGGATCCATCATCATGTCAGGAGGCGACTGACACGTGGTTGATTCAACAGAAGACCATGATGGTGCAGACAACTGCTACACGCCTAAAAAACACCAAGTCTCTCAGTCAACGGGATCCTCCATCGAGACTTGATTTTTGGTGGGGCATCTTGTTGGCTGAAAAGATCCAACTAAAAACATCGACAGCAAAGGGGTCGACATCAACAAGAAATAGGAAGAAACGTCCCAAATCAACAGTCTCTGTTGGCTAGGAAAGCCTAGGAAAAGCCAATAAAAGTTATTTTCCAGAAAGTGTCGGAGTCGACGAGACTCAAGGGGATGCATCCTAAGTCGACAGCACAGGGAAAGATGCATGATCGACAAAGATATAGGTTGGTCGACCAAAAACAACAAAAGGGACAGCTGGCAAAGGGGTTTTGTTGCCTGGAGGGAAATAGATTTGAAAAAGAGAACGCGGGGGAAGTTACGAAAGTAGTGGCCCGACACGTGGCGGCACCAGAGGCGATCTGACGGTTATTCCACTTGCCTATATAAAGCAAGGTTTGGCTTGAAGAAAAGAGGCATTTTTTGTCAGCATTTTAAGAAAAACACTCTGAGTATCGTACACTGAGAGAAAAGAATTTTTTCTTTCCTTACAAAATGTACGAAGACGCTCATTTGTATTTCCCTTTTTTACGTTGAATTTACCAAGTTTTTTGTGTTATGAAAACAATGTCTTTATTGTTATGTCATTCTTCTAGTATTTCTTTATTTTACTAAAAGCATCTTTTGTCTTTACTTGCTTAAATTTCATCATATACACCTCCAAAAAATTGTTATCACAAATTTCAAGTAATCAACACACCCAAAACCAGAGTCCAGGGACTAGTTTGGTCGGTCCCGCAAGCAAACCCGCGTCGGGAGGTCAGAGGTTGTCTGCGCGAAAAACCCGTGCGAACAACTATACGGTCTCCTTCTTATTGTGAGCATGCTGACAAACTTTATCCCGACTCACCGACTCCTAAATCTCAAAAAAAGTTTCATGAAAAGAGCCCGCATAAGCAAGCCGCCTCCGACCCGATTCCACCGAAAATTTCATTCATCGACGAGATGTCGGTTTTTATGCACAAATACATCGACCGTATCGTCAATGTTGAAGGGGGTGGTAATTGCGGTTACCGACCCGTTTCGGTTTTGTTTGGTAAAGGAGAGGATAGACATGCACTTGTCCGCCATCAACTAATCCAAGAGTTGAAGACGCATAAAGAATCGTACACGCGATTATATAAAAAGAAAGAAAAATTTGATGCAGTTTATGAATCTCTTGTTCCTTGCTTGAGTGGTTCGAAACCGGTGTCGAAATGGATGATCTTCCCTAATATAGGTCATCTTATTGCATGTGCATATGATAGGGTGTGCATTTACTTGACGCGATATGGGTTTTTAGAAACCTTTTTTTCACTCTGCACCGCACCACCTCAAAATCCAAATGATCGCATCATGTGTATTGGATGGCTTGCAAAATCAAGACATTTTGTACAAGTTTACTTGAAACCAGGATGCCCCATACCACCTACATCACTGGAATGGACGACTCATTCAACCACAAATGTCGAGACGTGGCCGGATCGTTTTGTTGAAAGGATGCACGAATTCGAAAGATTGAACAACATTGAAAAGGAATCGAATGCGGAAAAGTCCAAAGGGGTACCACCAATAGATTTAGCCAATGACACTTGTTTTGATTCATTTCCAATTCTTGTATAATCGGACGACTAATTGTAAAAATTTTAAAGTGCAAAATAGTCACTTTTTATCCTTATACCTTATTTATGCACTTGTGTCTTTTATTTGTCTATTATGATGTACTTCTATATTGAGTTCTGGTTTTAAAATGTAGCAGAAAAATTTTCGAATATGTATCTACCGAAGGTTCTTAATTTTGCAGTTTCAGAATAAGTTTCGGAAATACACCTCCGGAACCAATAATTATGGGTTCCTTCCATGGATATAGCTCCGGAAAAAAGATTGACAGAAAATGGTTGGTCCATATTCACCTAGGTTTTCTATAACTTTGGGGTTTCATTTGTTATCTATCACACAAATACAAAAATGTCTCAATTGTTTAAAATCAAGTTCCGTTGATATGTCGCAAGCGTCTCCTTTTTTGATGGCAAAACACTCGGGAGGACATTCAAACTCATAGACCTCACCCCCTCGCCGATATCATAGACGATATCCAATATCGCCTACTTTACAATGACAAACGAAAGGTTGTGAAGCTTGAATATCGTTCACCTTCAGTTGACAATGAATGGAACGTTATTTACAACAAATTTGAGCTCAAGAGTCAAGACAATGTTAGGGCGATGTGGCGAACGTATTTCGATTTTGAAGAGAAAATTTTATTCGAGTTGGAGGCGAAGGTCCGAAGAACGGTCGATGTGCAAACGTTCACCTAACTATTGAAGGGGTGTTGAACTTTTTATTACACTCAAATAAAATATTTAGCTCGTTGATGGTGGAAAAAGAATCACACCTATGTTTTTATGTTGTTATCGACAAAAGTGATTCTTTGAGTACTAGTGCTTCTCTGATGGAGAACTTGTGATCCCACTTCACGATCATCTCACTGCCAAAATGTACCTGGTTAATTATTCATCTACTTTCCACGAAAATACCATAGGGGATTGTAATGGACCTAGAGCAATGTAATGGAAAAAGAAAAATGAAAATGACGACAGTTTTAACTGATGCTACACACTAGCATATCATGCAACCAACATATGTTGGTCTTTGCAAAATTGAATTCGAATCTCTTAAATAAAAATTTGAAGTATAAAACCAAAAATAATAATGTGATTGGAAAAGGAGACTCTACTTAAAACAGTTAAATCCTCAAATAGAAATTAGTCATTCCGGAAGCGTTGAATACTTTGCACCGATGTATCACAGCACTCTGCTTGTTTGTTCTATATCGAGCATATACTGAGCATAATACTTGTCATATTTTCAAGGACAAAAAACTTTAATAATATAAGCATCGACGGCCTACTGAGATATATAGAATTCATCTCTCGTCGTGAATCACTTGAATCTCACCCAGTTTTGGAAGACTCCTGTAAACTTAACCCCAATCATAATGTGCTGAAAAAAGTGTAAATTATATTTCATCCAGAGTACCTTTTCCCTGTAATGGTTAAAATATATATGCTTCACATACAGATGATGTTTTAACAACAACTATTATTTCTTACTAGGGAAATTATTAATCTAGTTATTACATGGTCAATATAAATAACGCAGATATACATACATACACTCTTGCTCAGACACCCTCCTATCATCAGAACTAAACTTTTCTAAGCACAACTAAAAATCTGTATAACTGTTACAGCTAAATAGAGAAGAGAAATTCGATAAATAAAAGCAATTGGGTGCATTTCTTTCGCCTCGATAGAAAACATGGCATACTCATGTTAGTGTCGCAAAACTGCTGCCCAGCTTCCTTTATAAAATCAAGGAATAGAGCGGTCTGCTTCACGTGAAGCATGCATGATATAGAAAAGCAGGAAATTGCACTGCCAGTAGTAGTCAGCACTGTCTTGATTCCCAGACAATATTGATTCTCATGTGTTGCACTGATAATTTCAGCGGAAGATAACTCCAATGACCAAAATTGGTATATTTCAAACATTCCAGGTGCAACCTCAAAATGGAGATTGACACAAGGGGCAAGATGATTTGTGAGATGTTGAAAACCATTTGTAAAGGCAAGCAGAATGAAATTTGTGTTTGCAAGTCCTGCAAGCAAGGCGAGGAATGCTGTGGTTTGTAGTGTGGATGACACTGTAACAGATTGGACACTCCTCAACACCTTCAAATTCTTTATCAAAATTGTGCTTCCAAATTCCAATAGCTTCTGCTAAAGCACCATTCTGCAGGAACAGAAAAATTATTAACTTTATCAGAAACCTTAAGTATTTTTTCTGTATTTTACAAAATAAGAACATAGCGTTCAGCAACAAAGAAAAAAATAGCCATTCACAGAAGACTTTTTCACAGAGCTGTTCTACGTGAGTCAACCATTCACTACATACAGAAAAGAGTATTATATATCTGAAGTTTTAACTCAAAATAGCTTTGTGTACTTCTAGTCATTAGACAAAAATAGGGCAGCAGAAGGTAACAGCAAAATGAAATATCAAACTATAACAAGTTACCTGATTACGAACAAATAGCATCATTGACATCAACCATTTCCTTTGCTTGACCTCACTAATTCCAAGGCTCCTAGTACAGTCAACATCTACGGGCCTTAGTGGATAAGATGCAGGGAGACGGATGACTAGATCCATTCCTGTTTCATCCTTAGTGTAAGTAGCAACAACCTCATTCGCTGATTTGCTTACACTAACTGAGAAATTTTCATCACGAAAGTTGGCTTTCTTAATCTGCATTGGAAACAACATAGACATCCATGTCAGAACTGGACTATGACCAAATATATTGCATGCTAAACAAATAAAGCTTTCTCCACACTATGTGAGGACAATCGCATGGATTAAATATTGTCAACTGTTTGAGCTAGAGCCAAGTCTTACAAGTCCTTTTCAATAATTGTATGCTGTTCAAACTAAAAACAGATTCTCTAACTGTGACAAGGATTGCAAGTAATTTACAGCATAAAATCAGGTTGGCAGCTTAAGAAACAATAGCTAAAAACAAATTTTCAGATATCCAGGTCATTCGCAGTCCTTGCAAATGGCGCAGTTGATGCAAATGAGGCATTAAGTAATAGGATGCTACATGAGCACAGAAAACAACTAAATTAATAAATATACATGGAAATCAGTTTGAAAGTAGACTCGGGGAACTGCTTCAATGATGTGTTGATGTTAAGAATATGCAAAGATTTGCACTTATCACAATATAACATGGCATGGGCAATTTTAAAATTAAAAATAAATAAATTAAAAAATAAAAAAAATATAAATAAAAAAAGGTATGGGCAGTATGGCAGTAGTGACCAGACTACTGTACTACAATGTTTCATTAATTTTTGCTTTTTCTTAGATTTCCCTCTCCCCTTCACCAAATATGTAATGAGTAAATTGTGCAACTTAATAGAACCAAGCAGTTTAACAAAAAAAACTAAACTGTTTTACGCGACCATTAAACTACATCATACCTGGGTTAATTCGTTTGCAATAAGGGGAGGGCTGCAGCAAGTCCTTGTAAAGGATTCAATGGCAGTTGATGTGTTACGATCGCGCAAATCATTAAACCAGCCACGGACGTAAGCAGGAAGAACATGAAGCATCAAGCCATATATTGCTCCAGCAAGTGCTGAAATTTTCTCCGACTCAATAGGCCAAAGAGATTCCACAGAGAACAAGAGTGAACCAGTGTTGGTGGCTTTGGTTGCAGCACTTGCCGGTTTTGATAAGCCACCAGAAAGCTCTGCATCTTTCTTCTTCAGACTCTGAATCGTGGAAATCTCAACAGGAATATGCTGAAAAAGGCAATCTAAAATAACTGGAGTAGCAGAATCTTGAATGTACTGGATCAGTCTCTCCCTGTCAGATGATGATGAAGGCAACGACCATAGATGTGATATCAACAAAGACCAAGCCAGGAAGAGATTTACCTGCAATAGGTTTTTTTAGACCAATAGTTCTCCAATGGAAAGATAAAGTAAATAAACATAAAAATGCTAGACATATTGGTAGGAAATCTTTTCATCAACTAGTGAGTTGTTAGTCAGTTAGTTTTGGGGGTTTGATGAGAGGCTCTAAATAATAGAAGGATGGATTAGAGTGTATTTGGTTTTTCAAGGAAATTAGAGTGCAAAAGAATCAGGTCTTTCATAAAAATGGTATCAGTTCCATTTCCTTACAAAACCAAAGATACTCTTTCTAATCCCTCCTATTATACATAGCTTCTCATATCACGCTCCTAACTAATTGACTTAGTAACTGGCTTATAATAACTAACTAAGATAATCTGTCACAAATAGTATATAGCTCAACTATGTTTCCAAATAAAGTATTCTTACTCGTTGATGTGCAAGTAAGTCCATTTCAAGAACCTCATATGGTGCCCTTTCAATCACGTAAGATATTTCTTCTTTTAAACGGACCTTTTCTTCTATTGAATTGTCAAAACGGCTGGAATCCAGTTCGCTGGAAGCATTCATGTCTGAGTTGCAAGCACTATCTTCAACGACAGCCGAGCTTAAAACAGGCTCATTTGAAAGAACAAAATATGCAGCAAACTGGAGCAAAGGAATTGGCTTGGAAGTAAAAAGTATAGCATACAATGAGCTAATAGACCCTTTGCTTAGTCCCCAAAATGCAATTGATTTCACTGATCTATCTCTAGCCTGTGAAGAGGAATCAAGGACAGCACAAGCTACAAATTCCCAAAAAGATACATATGTAACCCGTGACGACGCAATAACAGGTGCAGCTTCTTTGAAGTATGCATTTGCAATAGCCTCAGATATGCCAGTACAAAATAGTAAGCGTAGTATACCTTCTACAATCCGATCTTTAGCAGAGTCCAACTTTTCTGTTTTCATTGTATTTGAATTATCTGTGTCTTCAGTTTGTTGATGTTTACAATGCTTAAGGAAAAGAGAAAATGATAAAAGGGCATTTTCAGAAATCTTTATGGGAAAAGGATCTGAAATCAAAATAATTTTCTCAATTTTTTTACACATCTCATCCAAATTATCAGATGAATTATCAACTAAACCATTTACATTTTCGGTTACATCCTCCATCATAACAACTACTGATTGAATCCAACACCTTAGGTTAGACAACAGAAACTCCCAATCTTCTTCACTAAAATCATTCCAGCAATAACCTACTGAAACAGCCATAAGTTTTGATAGCAGCATCTGCACTACTGGAAGCTGGTTGGTCATTGCAGATACTCCAGCAACAAGCCTCTGCTTCAGGAATAATTCATATAAAAGTTTCCTCTCATCAGGGCTGATACTTCTCGCTGGCTTTAATGCTTGGGGACCACCCATTGAGCTGAAAGGATAACAGGCAATTACCAACTGTAGCCAACCTTCCATATCTGCAAGAGTCAAGACCAAATTTATTAACACCATCCAGTATTAACTCACAATTGATGGCAAAAGAAGTTTTTGAATAAAAATTATATTAAAGAATATTCTTAAGTGAAACAAACTTTTTGCACTGTTGCAAATAAACACAGGCCATAAATGCAAACACACAACAACGCATAATTTTAGTTAACCTTCTATACCTGCAACCAAAAACTGTCAATTCAGATTTCAGAACTCTCATGAATTAGTATGTACCATTTACAAGAAATAAGAATTTACCTTGTCCTGCTGTCCATGTTACCAAAGGTGGAAGCTTTAGAGCCCTCTCAAGCCAGTCTATCATGGTGTTTTGCACAAATCTTTCTTCTAAAGAACAAGGTTGAACACCTTTACTGGGCTCCACATATCCACAAAATGGTTCTAGAAGTACACTGGTAAGCAAAGGAAGAATCTTAAGACAATTCGTATTTACTTCTTCACCAAGAAATAGTTTATTCACAAGAAGTTCAATAAGATATGATGCCTTCTTAGTCCCCCATATGTTCTCTTTGAACAAAGTAGACAGAAAGGAAACAAGGGCTCTTAAGAATGGTTCTTCAATTCCTTCCATTTCATCAGCTGGAACTGGCCACATACTCACAGAACTTTTTGTACTATCACCTCCATAAATAAGAGATCTGTCAAGCAAGATGCTCAATATGTTATCCAACAGGCTTTCCTGGGGAGAATCACTTCTTTTGGCATATGCACACAATGAAGGTAAGAAAGAAGACATAGCACTGTTTTCTGGCCATCTCCATGTGCACAGTATTTCAGCAGCTAGCCATGCAGATGATGCAATCCCTTGACTTCTTTCAAGCATAGACGAATTAGGCATTGCACAACCAGCAATAACTCTATCTATTCCTATTTTTTGGATTAACTTGTCAATTAGTGCTACAAATTTCTGGTGTCCTGGAGCCTGCAGGAGGTAAAAACTAGAGATTAAAAGTACTACCTTATTTTCTTTATATATTAGGCAGGATCGTCAACTACTGCTTACATGTCCGAACTACATATTTTATATAAGCAATTCATGACTAACATCATCTGTAACATGCTATCTGATATTGGATAAAGCATTAAAATTTTAAAATGTAGATTGTCTGGCTGGTAAAGCCTACCATAGCTCACTCACCAATACTGACATTGATATCCCAATATAAATAGCAACAGAGACCAACACAACTTACTTTCCATACTATCATGTAAACAAACGTGCTTATTACAACAACATAAAATCTATTAAATAGAGACAAATTACCAAATGTGTGAATACCTTTGTTGAGCTTAAATTTTGCACTACATACACAGGCCATCTTTCATCTCTGCTCAGCAACTGATGTAGAAGATTCTGTTTATCATTTTCATCCACACAGACACGTTCAAGAATTTCAAGCACCCATGTACAGCATAATGATGTGATTATACCATTAACGTGGTTATCTTCAACAAATATTGCAGACTTGACTGACTGAACTAAGATATTCAACAGCCTCCGGCGGTTATCAATGCATAAGCTTTTTAGAAAGTGCACATTTATCTTGTTATGGAAAGCTCGCGCATATTCTCCAAATGATTGTCTAGCTTTGGCTCTGCTCATTGATTCGTCATCAAGTGAATAGTCCAAAGCGTTACTTAAATTGCACTCCCACTCAATGACAAAGACTGCTGATAAAATTCCTGATACAATTCCACCTTCCCCATCCAGTGTGTTCAGGCAAAAGAAACTACCATCAAGTATATCAAGAGAGATCTTCGCCTTCTCGACAATGCTAAGAGAACTATCATGTTCTACACAGATTTCTGCATCATTGCTTAACATAGAAGCTGCATCTTGTGCCCAAGAAAAAGACGAATCCTGTATAAAACTGACTAATCTCCTTAGAATCTCCTTATAGATGAGAATCAATGCATTCTTTGACAGAAAAGGCATAGATGTTCCTTTTGATGAACCACCAAGAAGAGAGCTGCATGTAAAAAGTGTAAGATCAGAGTTAAGAGCACTCCAGCAAATTAATATTAAATTTCTCTGGATTGGGTTCAACACAAAATTAAGTACATGATATATATAACTTTAGAAAGTGATCTCTTTCAACAGCTAAAATATGCCTTTATTTAATAACACTACACAAAATTAAGACATTTTCTGCACGATGCCTCTGAAAAATCTGTTTTCACATACCACATAAACTGCACATGAGAAGCGCTATATGGAGGTAGAGAATGAGAAGCAGCAGTAGCATATGATTCCAGAGATTCATGATACCAATCTTCAGCATTACTGCCTGGTCTATAACTAGAACCATCTTTCGCCTTCCTCTTCATACTCTCATCCCTTGCTTTTTCCAGGAGCGTGGCCAACATTGCTGCTTGGTCAGAGTTTATCAAACCTGACGAGGATCCAGAATAACTTTGGCTAAGCACATAATTGACAATGAAAGACCATTGTTCTGAGAAATGGTCGTCATCCAGCAAGGTCAATAACAAATCAAAACGAGCATTAGTTGAGCAACTATTGGGCTGCAGACACCAAGGGACGAAAGTTTTCTTGAAAATTTGCAGAAAGTCTTCAGCTTCCGATAATTCATCCCCACCAATCAGAGGCGGAATAGTACCGTGCCCTCTTTTCTGATTAAAAACTTCTTGTACCATTTTCTGTGGTCCAAATATTGAAACAGCGACAGATAGAAGTTTCACAGTATCTGGTGAATCCTGATTATCAAAAACAGGGTGAGTAAGGAAGAGTTCAGTAGAGGACATCCAAATATTTATTCTTTTAAAATAGTCATCCAAATAATACTAAATTAAAAATAAATAAATAACAACCATAAGCCTGTGCAACATTAATCCCCTTTTTATAAACAGGCTAAATCAACAACAGAGTTGACATGATAAGTAATTCCCTCAAATTGATGATCTATTTATTTATACTCCAGTTATGCATAGAATCGGTGTCTCCTTAAAGACTATAAAAGTAGTTATCCTTTTTGTTAAGAGTCTCACATCGGACAATATATGGCCTAAACATGTCTATAAGTGGGGGCAATCCTCACCCAGGCTCATGATCCGGTGGGCCAACTACTATTAGGTTTCCGCTATCGGGTCACCCACCATTTATTTCCAGGCTCCAAGCTCCAGATGTCCAATCCTGGGCATGAGAGGGTGTGTTAAGAGTCTCACATCGGACAATATATGGCCTAAACATGTCTTTATAAGTGGGGGCAATCTTCACCCTACCAACCGGTTTTGTAGGGTTGAGTTAGGTCCAAGCACATTTCTTGACACTTTTGTATACCACCCATGTCAAAACATTGTAAAATTGTGTGATAAAAAACCTAAAACATAAACCTTATGCGTGAAAAAGAGACTGTGCCAGTGATTCTACAACAACCAAACCATTTCCCACTTGATTAAGACCTAATGGATAAACTAGAACATAATAACAAAGTGAGTAGGAACAGGAACTCTTAAGTGACTAAAATGAATATATTGAAGAATATGCTCCATAATGCAGATGTCAATACAAAATTTTCATGATCAACCCAAATATATAATATCAGTATATCATATAAATAAATTAAAAACAAAATGGCAAACAAGTTTGTTGTAATATCCACTTACAGAAGACCTAATGATTGAGAAAGATTTCGCCAACATCGGTCCAACTATATAAACCAATGGCCAAGTTGCACCTTTCATAACGGCATGTTGCTCCAGCAATAACATGAACGAAATGATTTGTTCAACCATCTCCACGCTGCCTGCTTGCTGAAGAACGCTTGTGCAATTATTTTCAAGTTCCACAGTAAAAACAGATAGAAGATTGATATCTAATATATGAATGCCTAAAAGGATTTCAACAAAGCACTTTCCCAATGCTTGCAAATAGGGCATTGGATATTTCTTACTAGGCATATCTGCTTTCTTGCTATGAGAAATGTTTTTCTCAGATGAATCAGATTCTTTTCCAGTGCTGATTATATCATAACCTTTCGAGCTTCCAGTCGTAAGAAAATCCCTCCATATAAGCTTTGCTAGGATATTATCAACGAGAGTGACTCGGAAATGACTGATTGAGTCCTCTCCATCATTATATCTGATACAAATAGAGAACAGTTTTGTTATAGAAAAAAACATTGAATATGGAGTAAAAGAATCCAAATACACACAACCACTATCAAAAGGAAAAATGTGTACCTTGAAGCATTTTTCAAGGACCAAAGAAAACACTCTTTGAATGCCTGGAAAAATGCTAGCCTATCTGCTGATAGAGAAGTTTTTCTTCCCACCCACAAGCTTTTGAAAAATTCAAGAAAAAATTTATCCCCCTCAACAGCTTTAGGAGGCACGTTCTCTAAAAATAAAACCAGAGCTGGGTATGAGACCTGTTGGGAACCGAAGCACCCATTCCTAAGAAAATTCCAAAAAGGATTCAGAATGTTTTTCTGAACATTCAAGGAACTCCAACCTCCTGGGAACCTTCTAGAAAAAAGTAATATTACATCCCACATTGAGGGATGACATGTTAGATCCTTCTCATTGAAAGCACCAAGAATTGCTCCCGCAAGACTTTTTATATTTCCTTCAGTAATGGCATGTGGCATATTTTTTATGAAGCTCTTCAATACAGTATAGGTAGCAGATCGGATAGTAGGTCTTTTAGACTTCAAGAAATCTAGGAAGTGCTTATGATCTGCTAACAGCTTTTCACCAAATGAAACAGCAGCCACCCTGGCCTTTGATGCATGTCTAGGTTCAGTAGTTATATTCTCCATAGCAGGTTGCTCTTGTTGTGGGAAAATTAAAACATCAAGAAGAGAGGCCAATGCCAATAATGTTGATGATATCACCTGTAAGACCAAAATAGAGAATAAGTTTCATGAAGTAAAAATACATGGTCCAAAATGGAAAATTTGAATGTCAATTAAATACATCGTAAACTGAACCATTAAACTGTAACAAAACAGAAGGCAATCTTGGTTGATGATGGAGCATGTGATAGAGCCCGAGAGTTTGGGCTAAATCTTGAGTCAAATCAAATCAACCAACACTCAAAGGTATAGAGAGCATAATCATGAAGGAAGACTGGTGCTAATGGCAGGAAAAAGGAAGAGGAATCTGTTATGCAAAATGGATGTATTATTAAGGGTAATGGAAGGATTGAATTATATAGACATTAAAATTTGGCCTAGGGCTTGATACCACTTAGCTCTGTTTGACAGTGAATTTCATTGTTATAATGCAGCGAGTGTGACTGAGGGTTGTTAGTTTATGGAGAACTCATAACTGAATTTTGTTTAGAGTGTTCTCTTCCATTGATTAACAATGCTGAATGACTACATCATTATATAGGATCCTAATCCTGCACATAATCCTCCAGACAGGTTAGAGGTAACTGACTTTAATCTGATCCTAACAGATCTAACACTAACTCTAATCATGTGCACATCTGGCATAGTAACTTACTCTTACTAGATGCTGATTCTACTCTAATATGGGTTCTGCGCTCCATCAACATAAGAGCCAACAAATCCAGGTACTACTTTGCCAAGATAATGGGCAGGTGAGCAAACGGACCATAAACCATTCATATTACTTTTTACTTATGTGCCAATGAAGTTTAAATAAAAAGTTTAGTCCAAGAAGAGGACTGTTAAATATCTAGTAACTAAAATAGGTTATGATTAAATATCACACAGACCTAACAAGGGAACTGCGTTTAACTAGCTTAATAGAGTTACAGTAGCTTTAGTTTATGGCAGAGCAGTTCAATGAAAAAAAAGTCAAGTAATTTCTTCCCACTTCAAGTAGTGTTATCAAATTGCAGCGCCATGGCCGCTATGGCCAATATACATGGCGGTTTTTGGGCTTGCCGCAATGGTAAATACCGTCCGCTATTGCGGGCTTTTCCGCCATAATCCACAATGATGGCATCGCAAAGCGGCCTGTATGGCGGAATTTTGGCTCTCCGCCATGGACCGCCGCCATCGACAACACTGACTTCAAGGTAAATCTTGTTCTCCTTCGACGATACTAAAGATAATGTACATTAGACAAAAAGATAATATAAAAAACTTAAAGATAGCTTCCTGCACGATATTAGTTTCTAGGGTTTAATATGCTTTTAGTCCCAATTAAAATTTATCAAATTTTTATTCCACCTTTTATAAAAAGGGCTGTTACTTTTAGTCTCTCATTTTATAAAAATGGGGTGCTATTAGTCTTCTCTAAAAGCACCCCGTTTTTATAAATTGAGGGACTAAAAAAGGGAAGAAAAAAAATATAGGGACTAGTAGTTAAGATCCCGGCTTTAATCTGAAAATGCCACGATTTTGCAATTATACTTGCCCTTAGCATAATCCTATTTTGGAGAAATCACCCCTGTAAATCAATGAGTCGTATAAACTATGATCTTTGAAATGTTTCTGCAGTTATGCTTATGAATGAATTTAAACTCACCAAAGCATTTAAGTGTTATTTGTTTTAATTATCTTACTTGTGAGTTGTGCTTGTGAATTTACATTGACACTGTATTTCAAGTGATTTATTATTTCTATGTCTTAGCTAATTCTATTTTATATGCATATATATGAGTTTTAGAATTTTGTATAATCTTATGATTAGTGTTACAATTCCATGATTTACGATTTTACTTCCTTTCCCAATTTTATGTAAAATGTCAATCTTAACTACCTTGACTAAACATGAATGATCTGTAATTTTATAGGGACTAAAAACATATATAACCCTAGATTCTAATTATTTATCCAGTCCAACCCTGAAGTCCCAAAGCAAGATATCTACCACTATTTTAAAATCCTTGCTTACCAATATAAGACATCCTACCATCAAGATTTACCATACAGAACACACTTTCTAGTCAGCTTAAGAGGAGAACCATTGCAAACCAATAAATTTAAGACTTTGATTTACAAGTATATTAAAGTGATTTTCATTGTATACCTGTTGGTACATCTCTTCCAACTCATCCACGGCAACAGCTTTGTCAGACAAACTTTGAGGTGTGAGCTTTAGGTTTTCTTCTAAATACATGAATATCTCTGTTGTGCATAAAATCAAAGCATCAAGTCTTTTTTCCTGTGCTGGAAAGATAGCCTAATACAATCAAACCGAAGGATTAAAACATGAATGGATTGCACTGTGATATCTAAAATCATTTCAGAGATACTTTGAAAATGTCTCAACATATTTCAGGTTAAGTGTATTAATATGTACTTTGCTTTTGAAACATAACTAGGGAGTATATGAAAAACATTAGTGGAAGAGACCAAAGAATACAAAGCCATTATAAAAAAATTTATATCACATTGCAGTTTCCAAAACGTAAAATTTCTTCCAACAATTTGTTAGGAATAGGATATAGAATAAAGGGGGGTTCATTGCAGAAATTAGTTAGCTATTGATTAGTTAGAAAATGTAGTGTATAAATAGGAGCACATGTGAACAGAGGAGTATCATCATTGAGTATTTTAAACTTTTAATGAATAGAACAGTGGCTCTTTGTAGAAGGGGAACGACTCTACCTACGAGAGTTTTCTCTCTTATTTTTTGATAAAAGTGTTCTTACAATTCATTCTAAATCCCGGTTTCCTAATACAAAGTCAGGATTCTGTTAAAATTTTCAGCATGCAAATTTTGAGCATGTGCTTTAAGCACGCATAGGTCTGCAGGGGGAAAACATGCATACGCCTTCAAGACAGATTATTCATGATAATGAGCTCAATGTAAATGATTAGAGGTTTTTATTAAAATGGCTTAGGGCAACTATTTATTGGTTCAAAAGCTTGTATTTACCCTGAAATATATCAAATGTCAAAAGAAAATAAATTTTACAGATGGTTCATCCTTATAAAAGAATTGGATAGAAACATGGTTTTCAATAGAACATTATGGGATAAGGATTAGTTGTTGTTGTTTTGTTGTAGATGGTTCATCCTTATCCTGATATCACAGACTAACAAAACATCGCAAAGGATCCCAGTGAAAGTCAGGCTTGTTTACGGATCGATATTTTTTAGGATATAAGATAATGAGTAATTTGTTAGGATATGGGATAGGAGGGGAGTTTGTTAGATAAGAGGAGTTCTTAACAGTATAGGATAAGGAGGAGTAAATTAGGGAAGTTAGTTAGAGATATTATGTATAAATAGGAGAATACAATAGGTAGAAATCATCATTTGAATTATATAAAGTTTGTAAGTAGACTAGAAACTCCGATGTGAAGGGGAAACCCTTGGAAGAGAAATTATCTCCTATTATTTATCCTATTTCTTAATAAAAGTGTTCTTTTTGGGAATTCAATTCTTGGGTTAGTACAAATATTGGACCAGTCGCAGCTTAACATATCACTAGCAGGATAAGCCTAAATCGGTGGAACTTGAGAATCATTTTGGTTTTATGTAATAACAGTGAAGAGACTAGCTGTAAATCCATGTATTAATAACTCTTCGAATATATAGTATCCTCTGGTGTTAAACACATGAATTCCATCACATGTCTCGGCTCTTTTCCTTCTCAACACCAACAATGAATAGAAATTATTTAAAACAGAACTGTATATAAAATTAGTATAGCAAACCTGCAAAGACCTTTTTGCTGCCTGAGAAACTTCATAAGCTGGATCAAATTGTGCAAACCACCATGGTCCCATCAAAGTCTTCAAGTGTGGTGCTAAATCTCTCCTGAGAAAGGCGTGGGAAGTGAAGTCAACAACAAGTCTCTGACTATGTGAATTAAATTCACTCAAACATAACATAGCAAGACTTCAGAAGGAAGAGCTTACAGACCAAAAACATATTTAACCCATAAATGATTAATATTAATTCAATAAAATTAAGATCTCGAAACCAGTTGAATAGGTACATATTAAAGAAAGAAAGAAAAAACTCTTTAACGTATATGTATGTTTGGTAGACTATAATGTCCACGCTTGGTAGAAACTGGGATAAGGCCTTTGTTTATTATTGGGTGGACTAGAATGTACACACCAATGTCAAAAGATACTTGGCTTGTTCATACGCTATTTACGCAAGCAACTTCTAAGTTATAACCAATCAGAAAATTGATAGGGAATAGTTCAAATACAATGATTGGTGAGCATGTTTTGATAGAGCCATTCAACCATGGGCATAAATCTGCAAAACATTTATTCATAAAATAAAGCAACAGCAACTTATCAAATTCCAAGTCCTCAAATACTTCAAACTATACAGTTCCAAATGCAAGAAAGAAGCGTGAATAAAGTTCATTAGAATAGGTCTATGTTCTAACCCAACAGAAGTAACAAGTGTGGTCATTGTATCATGAGTAGCCCGCCTAACATCCCTATTGTAGTCCAGCAACAGCTTTTTATATTCAAACACCTACACAAGAACAAATTAAACAATCAAGTCAATCAAATAAGTATATTCAAAAACTGAGGCAAGAGCATTTATGAACTACTTGACCAGTAGGGGGAACAAAACTCTTTTGCTTAAGATGGGAAAAAATAAAATTGCTATTGAGAAGAATGACTTGTTCAACGTTCAACATATAGATGTTCCTCTTGTGAAGGGAAAGAGACAGCACATACCCATTGGGGAATAATTGGAACAATTTCTTTTGATGACCTTTGCTGAAGCAGCGTAGATAAAGCTGACAATGCCTTAAGCTGTTAAAAGAATTATATAAAAAAATACACGGGTAAATAAAAATCCAATGAAATATAGAAAAGATTTCATCACCAGACAAAATGATTGTAATCATGGATTAACTCATTGCAACCAAATCAGGATAAAGTCTAATGTGCCTGACAAAATACTAGCAGAAACGGTAAATGTATGGAGTCATGATCGCAACAGTCATTAGACAAGCTTCACACAAAACTCAGCAAACCTCTTTTTTTTTAATTCAGGAAGTGGCAGTGTCATGTCTCAAGAAAATAAATCATTAATATTGGCATGGCTCTCTATTCAACTTATCTGTGCATCTATTCAACACTCATCATCTTCTTTAACTAATGGCTAAAAGTGTGGAATTGCAAACTTAGTGCAGAGTGGAACACACAATGTATCAAAAGAGGAATAGATACAAAGCATCATAAATAACAAATTGAACTTGGCCCTGTCCCATGTACATGCACCACTTATCAAATTCCCATCGAGATTGATCCAAAATTACCTTAGTAGTGGAATCCTTCCTGCCTAGTCTCTTCAAGTGCACGGCAATTTCACTATCAACATCCTGCATGCGTCAAAAAAAAACCGAACAATACCACACATCAAGCCGATGCATGAAAAAACTAATAAGAGATATTAACATTCTAACCAAATCTAATAACTCAAAGCTTAAAACAAAGTTTTGTGGCCTAAATCATCTGATAAAGAAACAAACACATGACAGACCTAATTAATTTCTACGTAGCACCAACACTTCAGATCAAAAGTGTGTCCAGTTTCGAATGTCTATCGGCGTAAGATACTTGTTGATGCTTGACAGCCTCAGACAACCCACCTTCACATGTTTTTATTTTCTAAATTTATTATGGGTGTGGAGTCTGATGTGTGTGTGTTATTTTTCTAAAAGTCTGGTATCCAGTTTTGCGACCGGCTAATTGAAAAAGACCAATCTCACCGTCCACTAGCAGAGTCTCATTTAAAGCCAGAGCAACACTATGTATGGGCAGGCCTAACACAGAGATTGTTCGCACCTAGCGGGATTCGAACTAAGACCTTGAGAAGAGCAACTCTGAGGACTCAAGCCTTCACCAACAGGCCAATCCGAGGAATTATCCAGTCTTGAGACAGTCTAATTGAAGGGGACCAATCCCACCGTCCACTAGCAGGAGGCTCATTTAAAGCAAGCCAGAGCAATACTATGTATGGACTGGCCTAACACAGAGATTGTTCACACCTAGTGGGATTCGGACTAAGACTTTGAGAGGAGCATACTCTCCGGACTCAAGACTCAAGCCTTCCCCATGAGGCCAATCCTGGGAATTATTTGTGCTAATGCTTAATAGTTAAAATTGAAGCTCATTATTGTCAAGAAACAGGCGTAACTCACTCACAGCAGTACCATTCTAGTAAATTAACCTATTTACTATCTAGTTATGAACATAACAATACCTAACTATTAAAAATAAAATTATGAAAACAAAATTAAATAAATAAATAACAGACATGGAATCGTGTACACTTACGGCAAAAGGGATAGACTCTTCAGTTGAAGGAGAAGGATCGAGCCGGGAACTGCCGACAAAACCACCGAATCCGACGGATACGGCCGCGGCGGAAGAAGGAGCGGAGGATAATAGAGATGCGGCGAGACTGCAAGGGAGAAAATAGCAATAAGATGAATGATGATTAGGGATTGAAGAAAGGAGAAGAGAAAATTGTTGTTACCTGCTGCTTGAAGGGCGCGCTTTACTTCTTGCACCTTCTCCTTTCTGTTTCCCCATGGTCGTATCGGAACTATTACGATGCGGCGGTGCTCTGATGTGTGCACGCGACTGCGTCAGCAGCTGCGGTGGTTATTCTAGGGAAACACCCGACTTTTCTTCTACTTGGTGTGGACGGTGTTGAGTTTTTTTTTTAAAGTGACATACATTTGGGTTATTATGACTCGAGAATAAGAATAAGAATAACTTCAATACAAGTTCATACTATAGTAAAATGTTAACACAAAGGAATTTACATAAAAAATATTAATGTGTGTTTTAAGAAATTTAATATCAAAATAATGTTTTGATAATTTAAGATTATTTATTTTATAATAAAACTTGCACTTTTTTATTTTTAAGATATAAGTTAGCATAGTATGTAATGAATATACATTCAAATATGTTATAGTTATCAATTATGACTATGTACACTTATTGTTACAACCTCTTACAACCCATTTTACTGTCGCATACTTTTACCTATGTACACTTATTGTTACAACTAGTCTCATTTTCCTTTTTCTCCCTCCTCCGTTTTCATGATAATTTTTGGTTATATTTTAATTGACTTGTAAAATTTAAGAAAGTATTAATTGTAATTTTTGTCAAAATTACTACTATATATTTGTAGGGAGAGAAAAAGTAAAATGAATATAATAAATAATTATGAATAGTATAAATAAAAAGAGAATTATAATTTAAGAATTAACAATATTGATTAATTTTATTAGTATGTGTAAAAAGTATAAAAAAAAACGCCACTTAAAAAAAACTCAAAGAATATCTCATTTGTATTTTTTTTCTATGTTTTAAAATAAATATTTTTTTAAAATATCAATACAACATTTATTATTTTTGCCAATTCTATATTTCTATATAATAACTTTCACATTTTTCAACTATTTCAGTAACTATAATAAATATGGGTATTTTAGTAAAAGATACTCTCTCTATACTAAATTATAAGACACTTTCCTAAAAAATAAATTGTTTCAAATTATAAATCACTTTACATTTTCAATGCAATATTAATGACAGCTTCCCTAATATACCCTAAAGTATTCATTATTATTTATTCTTTTTACTATTTATTCTTTCAACTTTTTTAAATTTGTAATTATGAAGGGCATTATTGTAAAATCATACATAATTTATCTTTTCCATAAAGTAATAATTAAATTTTTTAATATGTGTGAAATGTCTAAAAAGTCTTATAATTTAGGATGAAGGGAGTACTAATTTAATTATTAAAATCAACACATCTAATCATTTTCTTAGATTATTTTTGGATATCATAAAATGAACTGAGCAGAATGAAATGGAACGGAGTGGGAAGGAACGGAATGAAGCAGAGCAGAACGAGTGTCTCGTTCCATTTTTGAAAATTTTAGAACGGAATTAGACAAGTTGTTCATTCCGCCTAAATTGAAGGGGAAGAAATATGATGGTAAGTGATGGAATGGATCCATCGAATTTTAAATGATTCAAACAATGGTATATCATTCCATTCTATCTCATTTCGCTCCACTCAATCTCATTCCATCAACCCAAACAAAGCCTTAAGAACCATGTGCTGTACCCCAAAATTTGACCAACATTTTCTTTTAACTTGGTTTATGTTTCATTTCATTTATCATTTGCATTTGCATAGCATTGGTTTTAATCAGGGAATCAAGAGGTGTTGTGTTTGCCATTCAAGAGGAGAGTTTCTTTGTTCAAGCAAGCAAGGATATCATTGGCAAGTCATCAAGGGTTCATTACCATCAGATTGGGTTTCAAAGCTCCTTTAGAGGAGAGGATTTGTGTATGGGCGTCACCTCTTATCTTAAGGATCATCAGAGGGTCACCAGAGGTTCATGAGGTCACTTACTTGGATAAAGCATGGTTCAAAAGCTCAATGTGTGTCTTGAGAGGTCTTTATGAAGTTTGTATGGTCATACATTTCATCTACAAGAGCCTCAGTCAAAGGACGTGAAGTTAGGGTTTCATCTGGTCAACCCAAATTTAACTGTGGATTTGAGAGGGTTCAAGACTTGGTTCTAGGTTATTGAGGCCATGGGAAGTCATCCCAAAGCATCTGAGATGTCATGTTAAGATCAAATCAAAGAGATTCAAGAGTTCAAGGAGTTACTAAATTAGGGTTTCAGATGATTTCAGTGTAAAATCCCTTTCTTTGGTGCCTAACTTCAAGGACAATTTTCCCTATGATGCAAGTTCAATCTCATTTTACAAAAAACATGGGACTTGTTCATCATATCTCAAGATTTCTTTTGAGTACAAGAACTCATCCATTTAGTTTGTACATCTTAAGTTATGATGTCAACAAGTTGGTGTCCTCAGATGAAAGAAATTTTGGTCAACTCAAAGTCAACTCACTTCAAAGGCATTTGTGACATAGAATCAAGCTTTTCCTCACTTTCAAGTGAACATGAAATTTGTTCCTCGTGATAATAGTTTTCCAAAAAGTCCTAGAAGTCCTCATTATCACATATATATCTCAAGTTATGGCCTTCACAAGGCAAGGGTATTTTGGGAAAATTCATTATAGGTCATTTTCTTCAATGGTCAATTCCATGCACTTCAAGACCTCTAATCCAAATTCAATGAACATGAAAGTTGTGCTATATTGCATTAACTCCACAATGAGCTCAATCTCCATGGAACTTGATAAATTATGTGATCACTGGAATCATTTTGAAAGTGAAAAGTTGGCTTTTGGACTTGGTTTGGATATCTTCATTTACAAGTCACCATTTGAACATTTTGTGCACCACAATGTCACCAATTTTGGTCTTGCCTATGTTTACTTCATTTGGAAAAACAATGGTACATGTTTCATGCTACATTTTCAAACTTTATACCATAAAAGATCATGAATTAAAACTTGACACAAACCTTTTCTACATGACCACAAATTATCCATTTGATTTCCACACACCTCAAGTGTGCTTTTGCTGACCAAAAAGAAGAAGAGTAGTGCCTAACTCGTGTGTGTAGCATAAGTGAATATTTTTGGCAAAATTGTAAATATTTCAAATGAAGCAACATGGGCCTGCATGGTTGTTGAAAACCCACCATATAAAAGCCAAATGTTTGCCCTAAACCATCAGAATTGGTGCAGCTGCGTGAGAGAGAAGGGAGAGTTTCAAAAATTTTCAAACTTTCATTTCTTCGAATCAACCATTTCCTGGGTTTTTGCTTCAAGTGTTGGCTGGAATCATCATCAGTAAAGCTCGAGGAAGAAGTTGGAAGGCTGAAATTGAAGCTTGCTTGCCATTTGAAGGGTCAACGAAACCTCTCTGTTAGGTACTTTTCTTCAACTTAAAACCATCATTCTAGGCACAATTTTAAGGTAATAATGGGTGCATCTGAAGCCCTAGCCTTGGTAGGCCATGTTTGAATTGTTTGCTTGCCTGTTTGTTAAGATTTCAGCATGTGCGTAACAAATTTCGCGTCATGATTTCACCTTGTTTAGGAACCTTTTTGGAAAATGGTTGTTGGATTTGAACTCCTTGTGGTGAGAGCTTTCGAATGGTACCGGATTTGTGGATTTTTATTAAGGTTTGATGACTGGTCTCCAGCGAGCTGGCCGGAGAAGACGACCGGAGCCCTAGCTCCGGCGTCTAGTCATCTCTCTGATCCAAGCTGACCTGGCCCTGGTTTGAATGTTTGACCCATGATGTGTTGTGTTTTGATTTTCCTGGCCATGCTCACGTGTTGTTTGACTCCACGTAGGTTTAATGAAACGTAGAGTTTCATTAAACTCTGAGTTTATGAGCTATTGGGCTTATCCCCTTTCCTATTCACACCTTGCTTGTTCTTCTTTTTTATTTCGTTTTAATTCTAGTTTTCATTTTAATGATTTTAAATTAGTTGCTTATTTCTAAAAATTCCAAAAAATATTTTCCTAACAGTTCAAGATGTTATTTAATTTTCCATTTTTTTTTATTTTCATTTTCCATTTTTTTTCTTATTTTATTTGGAATTCACAAGGTGATGTGTTTTATGGTTTACCCTAGCTTTGAACTTGATCATTTGAACCTTGATCCTACATCCCCTATGACCAATTCTTATCCATCATTTAGGTGATGGGTTGAAGCATCTTTGAGGGTTTATTTGGTTCATTTATGTTCATTTTTCATGTGTTTTTAAAATTGCTTTTGTTTGACCCTCGACAAACCCTCGATAAGATGGAACACTGTACCTTCTTAGAATTATTTGGCGGTGCCTTGAGTTGAATTTGAACTTGAACTTTGGCATTTTTTTGATGGTTGTTTAATCTTATCTTGAGATTTTATTTGAGATTTATTGAGGTCTTCTCCTATTTTTCATGATTGCTTCAAAGTCAAGTCCTTTTAGGGTTGTTTACACATACTAGTTTGACCTAAAACTTTGGGATATGGTCTCAAGTGGCCCCCTATGCATCTTTTGAGCTTTATTGATTCATTTTAACATACTTGAGGTGCTTTTTTTTACCTTGTTTAGGTCATTTACATGTGTAACTTTCATCACAAGTCACCTTTGAATCATGTTTCTCCATTTGTCTTAAGTGTTGAGATTGTGTTAGGACTTTGGTTCCTTCACTTCATATGATCATACTTGTGCCTTGCTTCTTGTTTTAAGTTTGATTTGAGCCTTTCCTCTTGATGATTCACTTCTTCCCTCTTGGGTTTACCACTTGTTCATGATGATTTGGTGTTAATGTATACATTTTGAGTTTATCATGAACATTTGTGGTTGTGTTGCATTGTTCTGTTTGCATTGTTTTACTTGTGTTACAAGGATTGTATGGTTGAGATGTGCTTGTGGTGGTGGCTGCCCCATACTTTTTCCTCCCTCTTTTCTTTGTGTGTGCATCTTAGGATGGCACATTTCCTCTTTGATGGTTGATAGTTGATGGTTGTAGGAGCTTGCCTCTGCCATTTTATCTCATCTCTTCTTGTTGACTTGTTTAAGTTAACTTGCATCATTTGTGTTTGCATTTCATGTTTGCATCTCTTATTGCATGGACTTGTTTA